TTAAGGGAAAATGTTAATTGAGCAAGCTTTGTTCAAACTGGAAGACTATCCCTACACGTTCTCCACATAAGATTTTTAATTTTATGGAGTAAATAAGAATATTAAACGTTTTTTCATGGAAAAATCAAAGATGATGAAGTTGATGCTTCTTATTGAGTTGCTCACCTAATCATGCAAGATGGTATCCGGTCTTTACCAGATAATACTCGTCCTATATAAATCCATATCAATTATTTGATATGAGTCTTTTGCTAATCGAAGTTCATAATCTATGTTGTGTGTCTCGGGTATTAAAAATTAATTTAGTTAGATACTTGTTTAAACCCAACCACAAAGAATTATCAATCTGACACTTGCATCGCTAAAGTATCATTTTGCACCGTCACTCATACCTTATGTTAAGTTATAGCAGAAATCATTTGTCTCTCTACATATTAATAGATCGACAATTCCTAGCTCTCCACCTAAGCCCCTTTTAAAGCAAATCTTTACCAGGGTAAATGCTTCTCCATGAATAACTCGTAGTAACTCAACATTATAATAAGAATCTCACCATCTCTGAAAATACCTAACTTTTAACAATTTTGCAAGTAAGGTATTAAGAATCTGAAGAAGTCACCAAACTTGTTTTGCCATCATGGCCTAATTAAACCTCATAAAATCTCTAAATCTCAACTTACTATTATTTTTACTAGTATATAGCAATCTCTATCTCACCCAATAGATGTTTTTATCTTCTCTATTTTGGTCCTACTAAAGTTTGGAGACAATACTTTCTATTTATTTATATACAGTACGAGGGATAAGGAATATTCTCATAATATAAGTATTGATGACTTAAGCCACAATTTTTGGCATAATCTCTTTATTAGCTTTTATACAATTTCTTCATATAGTAGCTTTGAACCTTTTTTGCCAATTTTTTAACCAGATAGTTAAAAGTTGTCAAAGATTTTCTTAACATAACTAGTAAAGCTAAATAGTAATTATGAGTATTTAATGATGATACCTTAAAAATTTACATCAATCTCTATCTTGTAAATCACCATACTCTATTACAAAAAATAATTGACAACTTTCCCTATTTTGATTGTTTAATTTGAAGTCTTCTCATACTTCATTAGGATTTTCTTCATAGACTTCATATCTTTCCCTTGAACCATGCCAAAAATAAGGTTATCATCATTAAATAATAAATGCAGGAGAAGATGAATTCCACGTCAGTTTGATATAATTGAGATCTCTTTCGTGTTTTATCTTATTGAGTATTGTTGAAGATTCTATTGCAAATAAAATAAATAAGGCCGACAAAAAATCTCTTGACATACATATTTTTTTAAGAAAGATTTTTTTTTATAAATTATAAATGCGAAAATATAAAAGTATTTTTATATAGTGTAAAAATAAATTTAATATATTTAGTTAGATAATAAGTTTTGCATAATTATTTAAGTATGCCAGAGAGATATTTATAAATTAAAATAATAAGAAAAAACATAAAGAAAGATTTTACTTGTTAAAAGAGATATGTTAGTGCAGAAATAAATAAATATATATATATATATATATATATTTTTCACCTGTATGGGTTGGATCAATGTAATGTCTAATCTTATTTTTATTTTCTTCGTTATCTTGAAATGGTCAGGGCCCAAAACGGCATTGAAGTGCAGCAACAATCCTTAATCCGCCGCAATCCTAGATTTCATTTTCTTGATTTTTCATTCTCCCTCTTTTATACTTTTCCTTCACCTCTTTTCGGCCTCTCTCGTTGGCTGCTGCTGCTGCATTTTTATTCTGCCTAGTCGGTGTTACACAGCAGGTCTCAGCAGCATACCGACGGGGACTCCACCAGGAAGAAAACCCTAACTCTTTCTACATCTCTCAATGAACTGTTCAAGTAGCTCTCTCGCGCTTTCTGGTTTACTTCTTTCTCGTTTCTATTTATGGTGTTTTTTATATCTAGTTTTTTGTTTGTTGTTTTTCTTGCTCTTGTAGTCTCCGGCGATGTGCCGGAAGAGCCCGTGGTGTCAAAGAAGTCAGGTTTACTCTACGAGAGACGCTTAATCGAGAGGCACATAACGGTTCGCTGCTTCTCCTTCTCGGTTCATTCTAGGGTTTCTCTTTACTTTTACCTATTGCTCTTTTTTGTTGCTGAGAAGATATTCACATAAACAAAATCCAGGTTCCTTATCAGTTGTGCTTATCTTACTGGTTAGTTACCGTGTATTGCTTTAAGGACATTTTCTCTTATCCTTTCCTCTTCGTTTACTCCCGGTTTCAGTACTATGCCAATTATTGGTTTTAGTGTTCAACATTTCCTGCTAATGTGTGACATTTTGGAGTTTAATCAACCGGGGACTTGATGAAACTATACATGCTTTTTACTTAGCTAAGCCCAATCTCACTTCTAGTTTTTTTGTCAGCCGATCGATAAGTTCCTCCTTTCTTTCTTTCTTTTCTTTGTTTTTTTTTGTCTTTGATTTTATTTTGGTAGAAATGTAAGTTTCACAGTTCTTTGAAGCTGATGGAAGTATCAAAATTTACGGGAAACTTCTTAGTTCCCATGGGTCTTAGAGGACTGGAGCCTTTAATAAGCTGATGAATAAGTTGAATGTTGACAATTTAATTTTAAGAACTTCCTTACAAGTGGATTCTGTGTTTTTTTGGACACCTTCCCCATCTATTGTCGGTGGTGCGTGGCTGAAGCTTTGCTGTTCAAGTGTCAAACTCTAGGGAGCTTATGGTTTACATTCTGCAGTTGCATCTTTTGACTTGTGTTGATTGCTTGTTATCATGAAAATGGTCAGTAAATTTAGACGAAAGATTGAAGATTCACATTTTTATCTGCTTCTTAATCAGGATTATGGGAAATGTCCAGTCACAGGAGAACCACTTACTATGGATGACATTGTTCCCATCAAAACAGGCAAGGTAGGATTGCTGTTATCTGTTTCCATTTTCTTTTTGCTCTCTCTTTTGCATTTTGTTTTGGATATTTTTTTTATATGCTGATATATTGTCATTGTGCTACCATACAGATAGTGAAGCCCAAACCACTGCACTCTGCCAGCATCCCTGGTTTGCTTGGGATGTTCCAGAATGTATGTCTGTCTGTCATGTAGCCTCTCTTTGCTGTTTTCAGTATTTTCAAACATTTTTTTTAAAGCATGCTGCACTTCAGAATTTGGGGACAAACATCTTTTTTACCCTTGATATGATAATTTATTATTCATCACTGTTATTTGTCTGTTACAATAAAGGTATGAATATATCCTGTGTCATTCTACTGCTAAGATTTTATATCATGTTAAAGCTGCAATTCTTTTTGTTAATGTTATGTCCGTTTCTTGTCATCGTCATAATACTTCTATTACTTACAAGGCACAGTTGATAAGAATTTGGGTTCCTTATTAGTTGAGTTTCAACTTATGATGTGAGAGTAGAGAAGCTACAGCAAAAATAAATTTTGCAACTTTTTGACTAAAGCTATTGATAAGATGTTTGGTTTGCAGAAAAGAATAAGAATAGAATGGACTGATTACTCGGTGAGAATGATATAAAGTTGTAATGTAATTATTGTGAAAATGTTGCATAACCTTTGGAATAAAATGATAATAGATCTATAAGACACATTGAATTCTCTGTCAATTCATATGCTTAACTAAAACGTGATTTGTTGTGTTTAAATTACACTCACCTCCACTTTAAATTCCTTGGAATTATGTAAAAATTAGAATTAGGAATTAACTAGGAGTTGAATGGGAAACAAACAAAATGGGCTGTAGTTCTTTTTTCAACTCTACCTTCTTGTCATCTTCACTCCGCACCCACACTTGAGGCATTGCACCTGGGCTATGAGATCACTTATCCTGTCCTCTATTCTTTTTGTTATTCCTTTATTTGTCATTTCTTCTGATTTCAGTATGATTGTAACTTGTCTAATTCTTCGTGAATAATCACACTAGTGATAGCCTTTGATTTTAGATTCTGTAGCTTAGGGGAATAAAAATTAGACAGTTTATGTATTAGTGTTAGTTTGATTTGCAATAGATAAATGAGTATATAAATTTTTTATAGAGTAAACTATTTGTGATATATATTAACTGAATCTAACTTGAAATATCTTGAGTAAAATATTCTTATGTGATAGTGTTAGTTTGATTTGCAATAGATAAATGAGTATATAAATTTTTTATAGAGTAAATTATTTGTGATATATATTAACTGAATCTAACTTGAAATATCTTGAGTAAAATATTCTTATGTGATAAGTTTCAATTTTTATTATATTTGTTGTTAGCTTAATATTAGTTTCTTTAGTCATCCTTGTCCCAATGGTTGGGCATGCACCTCTTTCCTAGGACCTTATCAACTTGAAGTCTGGGATACTCGTTTGTTGTTTTATGTGAAAAAGAAAAGTACAATCCTGGTTATGATTTCACTTCCTCTTAGTTTATCTAGCATAGGGTCCAGGTTTGGCTTGATTGATATGGATATGGCTCTAATTTGGCTTTAAGGTTTCTCAAATAAAGGTATCAGGGACCATTATTGTATTTTATCATTTTATTTTAATATACGGCATCACTGTCTTATAAATAGACCTGCTGATTGACAAAAATTTCATTATTTCAAAAATTTTCTTGTAAAATTGTAGTGCTTCCTTACTTGTAGAGTGGGACAGTTTGATGCTATCTAATTTTGCATTGGAGCAGCAGCTTCACACAGCGAGGCAAGAGCTAAGTCATGCGCTGTATCAGGTAATGGCAGTAGCTTTGATTATATATCAGATCATGAAACCCACTTTCTGAAGATCCCTCCCTTCTCTTCGAGATCGAAAATCAATTGCAATGATTTGATATGGCTCATCCCCATCTCCCCTCCCCCCTCGCTTACCCCAATAGAAATGTACAGGAGGTTTATAATAAATTTGTAGAATTATTTCTGTATTTTTTCTTTTTCTGTCTTTTACAACCTGGCAATATAAAAAAATGGTTACTGCCAGGTTGTGCTGTTTTTTCCCTTCCACTAGAGAAGTTTGTTAGTTTTTGTCTTTTTTTTCCTTCCTTTGCCTATAAAATGGTGCTGATTATCGATGAATAAAAGGAGAGTGAGAAGAAAAGAGAGGTTTTTCTTATTCTCAAGTTCTTCATGGTATCAGAGCAAGCCTGATCCAAATTCTTCAGCATCCCTCTTGCATTCAATAGGCAATGGATGCGCAGACCCCTTCTCCACCCGAAGTTCTTTTGGGCTCTCACCTTCCGGTGCCTGACCGCCATGCTCTGGTTGATCAGGCTCCATCTTTCATTACTGGTCATCGACTAAATGGTAGTAACTATCTTCAGTGGTCGTCCTCGGTGTTGATGTTCATCCAAGGGAAAGGCCGAGATGAATATCTCATTGGAGAGCTCTCACCTCCTCCCATGAACGATCCAAATGCTCGGATATGGAAGGTTGAGAACAATCTTGTTATGTCTTGGTTGGTGAACTCAATGACCACTGAGATTGGTGAAAATTTTCTCCTTTATGAGACTATGCACGATATCTGGGTCGCAGCTCATGAGTTTTACTCCACTCGCGATAACATTTCCGCCATCTTCGAAATCGAAGCAAACCTTCACGATCTGCACCAAGAAGAAAAAACAGTAACTCAATATTACAATTTTTTAACTCGAAAATGACAGCAACTTGATGTTTTTGAGGAACATGCTTGTAGCTGCCTAGAGGATGCCAGAAGATTCCGAAGCATCGTGGAACAGAGACGAATCTTCAAGTTTCTTTTCGGACAGAACAAAAACTTTGACGAGGTAAGTGGACGCATCTTGGAACCAAACCTCTCCCGAACATCAGAGAGGTGTTCTCGGAAGTGCGACGCGAAGAAAGCAGGAAGAAAGTGATGATGGGTGACTCGCAACTCAACCCTAACCCTGCTGAAAGCATATCTCTCTCACCCGAGACTGATACTGTTCTCGCAAGTCGGGTGACTGAGCGAAAGGGACGGCCATGGTGTGAATGCTGTAAAAAGTCGGGACACGTTCGTGGAAGATGCTGGAAACTTCACGGGAAACCAGCTGAGAAGGAATCGGCTGAGAAGAAGAAAACACAAAAGCAGGAAATGGAGGAAATTCATCGGGGCAATTTTATCTCAACATAGGAGGGATCCATTGCAGCCATTTCTACTGGAAGCGCCTTATTTAGTCCTGAACAAATCAGCTTTCTCTAAAAATTGTTTTCACCCAATATGGTTCTCAGTAATGCTTCTACAGCTCACAAAGGTAATTTTTCTGGTTTCTCAATTTATTCCACAAAAAGAGGAATATGGATTATTGACTCAGGTGCTTCCGATCATATGACTGGGGATATTTTATTATTCAAAGAATATAGTAAGTGCAGAAATAAATTCTTAGTTAAAATTGCTAATGGCTATAGCTCCCAAGTCGAAGGAACAGGAATAATTGCATTGACACCCAAGTTAATTTTGTACTTTGTGCTATATGTTCCAAATTTGGATTGCAATCTCCTGTCAGTAAGTAAATTATCATAGGACTTGAATTGTGTGGTTATATTTAATTCTAAATTGTGTGAATTTTAGGACTTGGACTCGAGGAAGACGATTAGCAATGCTAGTATGGATTCGGGTCTTTATCTACTGCAAGTTAACAACTCTTCTCTTAATAGACAAACTCATCATGCAGTATGTACTAATCCTGAATCTGTAAACAACTTAAATATGGAATGGCCTATCATGTTATGACATTATCGTTTAGGACATCCTAACATCGTGTACTTGAAAAAACTATTTCTTACTTTGTTTTGAAATGAAAATCCAACTTCCTTTCAATGTGAAGTATGTCAGCTGTCCAAACATATTCAAAATTCATTTTTCAGTTCTGTTTACAAACCCACAAAACATTTTTCATTAATTCATAGTGATATATGGGGTCCCTCTCGGGTCACTAATATTACTGGGACAAAATGGTTTATTATCTTTTGTTGATGATCACATTAGAATTACTTGTATTTTTCTCATGAAAAAGAAAAACTGAAGTTGGCCAGATTTTTAAAAAATTTCACATTATGATTCAAAATCAATTTTACACCAACATCCAAGTAGTGAGGTCAGACAATGAGTGTGAATACTTTGAAACTACTTTGAGCCAAATATTTTTTTGACCATGGCATTATCCATCAAAGTTCCTGTGTCAATACTCCACAACAAAGTGGCATAGCTGAACGGAAAAATAGACACATTCT